GCTGGAAACAGGTATGAAGTCCTCTTGCACTTGAAATAATGTGCTTTTAAAAAATTCCCATGCCTCTTCAACAGTTTTGTTATTTATCTCCATCCAGTTCACAGATTCTAGCTCATACAATTGAAGTTAGCCTTCCTAACATTATATATTTTTGATTTGGACTTTGCTCTTCGGGCACTAAACTTAACCTCAAATTTAACCATGTTATGATCGCTACTTTCAAGTGGTTCTAAAACGTCTAATTTACCAATCCTGTCCTGGTTATTAGACAAAACAAGATAAAAAAAAAAACATTTAATTAGTTGTATTGCAATCAGTCACAACAGATCGATCTTGTCTAGTCTATTGAATTTTCATTTATAACTGCAATTTAAATGATTATTTAAACAATCATTTAAACAACATATATATAAAAAGTAATTTACTTGACATTTTAAATTATAATTTAAATAATCATTTAAATGACATATTTATTTATTGAATATTGACACAAAACATCCTCCATAAAATTTTTAGTTAAAGTAGATATGGAATTTGAAGTAAGATTTAATGGAAACAATAATCCACTAAATCGAACATTATTGGAAAAACATTTGTGCTATTTTGATTAAATTCAAGTTTAGAATTTAAGTAGGTCTATAAACATGACTTGCTCTTTAGTATTTTTTTTAAATAAACAATAGGCTGATTTCAGTATATACAGTGGTACCTCAGTTCTCAAACTCATTAGAACTCGAATTTCTTAAAAGTCGAACCAAGGGGGCATGGCACACGGAAGGAGCGGACGATCGGGACACATTGTTTGGATACATATATTTTCTTACTTTACAAATGACTGTTTTGATAAATGTGCTTAGATGTGTTTAGTACAGTATATGCTCTTCTTGTTTTATCCGGTTCATTTCGTGTTTAAATGCTAAAAAAAACATATTTAGGTGTAATTTTTTTGGGGCCGGGAACCAATTACTGTAATTGGTTTTCCATTATTTCTTATGGGGAAAATTGGATCTCAACTCGAACTTTTTAGGATTCGATCCGGAGTTCTGAACGGATTAAATTCGAGTTCTGAGGTACCACTGTAATTACAACATTATAATTACAGCAAATTACATCAATTGAGAGAACCTTTTAATAAACTCATGCTTTCCAGTTGCAATATGTGTATTTTTATTAGAATGCAAAAAGTGAATATGATTAACTGATTAAGGACAGAGACATATCCATCTCTTCACCAATATGTGTCCACACACTGGATGCTCTCTCCAACACAGCACTGGTTTCTGGAATGCACAGAATTTTCACTGGAGTTTTACTGACTACAATAACAAAAATTTGTTATTCCACATTTATTCTGAACCCCAATTCTGTCCTCAACTGCATGAATATGTCCTACGACCACAACTTTTTTGTTGGCTCTCGTGGGTCCTACAAGATACTGCTCTTGTTGCACAGTTCAAGTTCAAACAGCAGGGGGCAGTACAAGACATGCTCTGCACAGTCCACGTGTCCTGTTTTCTGTTCTGCATAGACTGTGGAATATAACTCTACTTCCTGATTAGAGTCCTGGGGTCTTGTGCTGTACAATAATGTGTCAACATCTGTTATGTAACTGCTACTAAATGTAAGTATTTTATGCAATTATGTAATGACAGAGAAACTAAAAATTACAGCTTGAGACAGCATACCTAGATGAGTTAGAGAAGCTGTCTCTGTTGTGCCAACCTAACAACTTCGACCTGAATGTCTCTAAGACAGGAGATAGAGATTCAGGAGATGGTCTTGGACTTCAGGAAGGAGCAGGAGAGGAAGTACCCAAATCTCAAGACTTTCAGGACTCTGGTGGAGAGGGTCAGCAACTACTGGTACCTTGGAGTACATATCTTTGAGGACATGACATCTACAACCCACATGTCCACCCCAGCGCAGAAAGCTAGGCAGTAAGTGTATCACCTGAGGCAGCTAAAGAAATTCAGAATAACCTCTGCACTGCAAAAAACCTTCTACTGCAGGATCTGTGCTTCTCGGGGAGCTTCGCTGCCTCATATGGTAGCTGCAGCTCCAAGGACTGCAGAGCTCTACAGAGGGCGATATGGAGTGCCGAGCAAATCACAAAGACATAACTGCCTGCTCTGTAGAGGGCAATATGGTGTGCTGAGAGAATCACCAGGAGTGAACTGTCCGCCCTGCAGAGGGCGATATGGTGTGCTGAGAAAATCACCAGGACAGAACTGCCTGCCCTGCAGAAGGCGATATGGTGTGCTGAGAGAATCACCAGGACAGAACTGCCTGCACTGCAGAACATTTACATGCAGTGATGTAGGTCCAGGGCATTAAGTATTACCAGAGACACCTGTGCCATAAACTGTTCCAGTGGCTGCAGAAAGGCAGGTGCCCCTGAAGCCTTATGGGCAGGACTGAGAGGGTGAGGAGAAGCTTCGACCCCCAGGCCATTAGGATCTTTAACACTTCCATTTAAAAACTAAAACTATAAAAGCTATAACTGCAGTCTGCACTTTATACATTTTCTGTAACTTTTATGTTTCATATACTTGCATATTTCTATCATTGCTCACAGAAAGTCTTGGGACGTTTGCTCAATTCAGTAAAAACATTGCAAAGTTATAATAAAAATCAATAAAAATAAAATAAAAAATCTATAAAAATAATCATATATCTCACAACCAGTAGTTTTAAGTAAAACATTTATTTTAAGCAGCAATACATTGAAACCCAAGTTATAATTTTAAAAGAGCTGTTCTGAGTTAAAAAGTTCATTGACAAGCAGTCTCATTGGGTGCTTCTTAATTAGTACTACATTGCAATAAAATAAACACCAAACACCATTTGTGTTCAGTATCCCTTTGTGATTAAATTGGAATTAATACCAAAATGGCAAGAACAGAATTGAATGAGTCAGTCAATAATATTATGGCACTAAATAAAAAGAAAATGTCTGTGTGGAAGATATGTGCAGATATGTTAAACTTTGCTTGTCAAATGACTTTTGTTATGCAGCCAGTGAATTTGCAACATTTTTACAGAATTAAGCATTCCAAGAGCTTTCTGTGAACATTGTATTTCACGCACCATCTATCACATACTGATCACCTAGCTGATTCTCCTCACTCTCAGGGTGTCTCTAGCAAACAAGGGCTATATCCTCTCTGCTGTAAACCTTACTCTGTAGAGGCTGGCACATGTGAGAGCAGCAAGGGCACTGAAGCAGTCAAACAGTGTAAGATTTACACAGTGAGAGAAGGACAGATAGGCACAATCTGATATTGAGAGTGTAAGACTGAGGGACTGAAAACTTGCTTCAGAGTCTCTGCCAGAAAGAAGCTCTGCTGCACGTCGTCATAGGCAGGGCTGGAGGAATAGACATCCTTGACTCCGGAAAACCCGCCACTGACCCGACAGTGCTTATTGATGGCCTGAAAGAAAGGTGAGGGACAAGTGTGAGTGAGGCAGGTAAAAGGTTATATCACATACTCCATGAGGCCAGGGTGAATGAGGCAGCTACAGGGGTACATCACAGGTGACATGAGACCAAGGTGAGTAAGGCAGCTACATGGGTACACAGGGGTACAGATGGTGGGGTGACAGGGGGATACATCCCAGTAATATAGGGACCCTGATCCCCCCACTTTTGAGGGGAAAAAAATAACAAAACTTTGTTTAGTAACATCCCTAATTTTGGGTGGATACCATGATGTTTGAACTCATCAAACTATGTTGACCATCACAAACTACTCATGGCATGTGTTTGCTGCAAGTAGGAGCGAAGCAGCTACATGGGTACGTCACAGGAAGAATGATTTATTATAAATAAATAAATAAATAAATAAATAATAACAACTGGGGGGTATTCCATGAAAGTAGCTAAAGAAAGCCAGACTTTCTCGAAAAAGTCAGACTCAAACTAGCGCCATCTCTAAATTTAGCCTCATGTCGTTCCACAAATGCAGTTCAGCTTTAACTAATCAAGGCTCAAACAAGACAGACTTCCATAGTCTCACTTAGTGCGCACACCCGAGATATGTAAGAAGCCCAAATGAATGGATGAACGATAGATCGACCAAATGAATCGAAAAGTGTGTAAAACGAGAGTATTGTTTTGTTTTTTTCCGCCGCAGAACAAACACTGCTGATGGAGCTGTATGAAAAAAAACAAAGATGTAATCGCTAAAAAGGCAATACTGTGGTCATAAAGCCAGTCAGTTGGCTTGGCAATGAATTGTAGACAGACTAAATGTATGTAAATGTTACAATTGCCTAGTACAGTGACATGGTGGTACAGTGGTTTATGCTGTTGCCTTACACCGTGAAAGTTCCTGGTTCGATCCCCGTAGCCAACGAGGAACTGTCTGGGTTAAGTTCACGTGTCATTCTTACTGTTTAATGTTATTCTGTATTATTTGATCTCTGTAAAATACTTTCAATCACATCCGTGTGAAATGTTCTGCACAAATAACCATATCTTGTTTTTGCTTTTTACTAGTAAAATTTTAAAGTATACTGTGACTAAACAAAATATAAAAATATTTTCCTGCTCGTATTATTTTTACAGATTTTTTTTCAGTTTCAGTCATTGCATTTCATGTTTGACCTTTGTAATATGGGTACACTTATATTTTAATTATTTTGGAATTATTTGGAATGCTGAGACGTGATTTTTATAGGCTTTATTGCAGGGGTCACCAACCTTTTTGAAACTCAGAGCTACTTCACGGGTACTGAGCCATAGGAAGGGCTACCAGTTTGAAATGCTCTCCTAAACTTATCTGAACTTCATGTATAATAAACCTGTTTTAAATGCTTTTTTTAAGATATTGTCATTTTCGAATCTATATAAATGCAAATGTGATTAAAGAAAATAATAACAGGTTAAAATAAAATTTTAGATGCTGCTCTCTGGTGAGTTGTGCTATTTTTAGAACAGGTCCGTGGGCGACTCATGTGGTCCTTGGGGGCATCCGGGTGCCCGTGGGCACCATGTTGGTGACCCCTGCTTTATTGTATTTATTACATGACATGAGTAGTGAGAGCTTGGAATTTGGATTTTTTTGGGAACTGTTCCCACACGTCGGGTGTCTCGCTAAGCGTGACAGTTAACCTAATCCGGAGCAGACTTGTTCACTCACCTAAGTTACCATGGTAGCTCAGCGGGGATTCATTTAAGACATGTTGATGGAACGGAACTCCCACTTGAACCAGACTTGTCGACATAAGTCAGACTTTCCCTTAATCCTGCTTCGTGGAACACCTCCCTGGCTGTTGTAAATATTTCACGGACAGGTTTGCTCACTCCACTCCACACATGCACACTCCTGTCCTGCACCTACCTCTGCGGCCTCCCAACCCCACTGGCGGTACTTGGGGTCATGGGTGAACCTCCACATGTACCAGTAGGTCTCAATGACTTCAGGCCTCAGTATGTAATACTTCTCATTCTGGCGGATGGCTACAGCTTCTAGGCCACTGTCAAACTTGAAAGCCTCTGGCCCGAGCTTCAGCACTGGTGTGGAGAGAAGGAGATTGCACTGTGATGTTCGTTCATCTATAATCAATAATGACAATTCATGTATTTCATGCAGGGACTATATTAGTTCATGATTTGCTCTTAAATTGTAACTGAGTAACTAAGTTAGTTGTGCCCCTCAATTACAGTATTGCCGCCTGGTTCTTGACTTTCTGCTCTCACCCGTACGGTCATATGATTCATGGCATGTGTGGGCGATTTCGGCCCCCAGCTGCAAATAGTGTCCAGCCTTGTCATTTGGTGAGCCATCAGCTCCCAGGGCAAACATGCCCCCAGCAAAGCAGGTCAGGTGACCCATCTTGCGCTCCAGGTGTCCGTTCTTCCATTCTCCGATGAAGGTCAAGCCGCCACTGGACTTGCGAATCAAATGTCGCTCTATAGCCTAAAGACATGTGGGTGTATTTCATAAAGCTTCATACATTTATACATGGTATTATTGGAGGTTGAGCTTCTGGCTTGTAAAGGATGGATGGATTGATGGATGATGATAACAGGAGTGAGGATTTGTTAGAGCTGCAAACTCTAGATTAAAGAGTTAAGGGCTCACCTCAATAGCATCATCATAGGTCTTCCTGGCCTCCTTGTCAGTTCTGTCAGACATGAGCCAGGCTTTTAGGAGGTATTCATAGAAACTGTCCCCTAGTCCTCCCACAGAGGTGTGGTCTGAGGGCAGAAACACTCATTAATCCGCCATAACCTTTAGCAGGTTGAGGTTTCCTTCTGTTCTGAACAGACCAATGTCAATCACGTGATACATATACAATTATCCAGAAAAGCACTGAGGTAGACCACAGGAAAACATCTCCCTGTCACTGTGACAGCAGATAAAAAAGCACTGCAGTAGAGTGTTCATTCAGTCAGATGATCTGTTTAGGGGACCAGGTTAAGGAGAAGACTCTGAAACAAGCAGGAACCACGATCCACACAAACTGTAGGTTGCTAAGGGCTTCTCTCCTCTTGACTGACCAACAGCAGGTCACATTTTAAAGGAAAGGGAACACTGGGGGCACTGTTCCTGAAATCCAGAGTGAAACTGGCAGCACTGAGCCTCCTGGCAAAATCATCTGATCAAGTTTTAGCACTAAATCCGCTTCCTACTGCCCTGGGAAGACAAGTGCCAGAGTACAAAGCTGTGTTTTCATTCTTTATCCATCACAATTATTTTAAAATCTGCTAAAATAGATATTCAGCCTGTCTATGCCCAGTCTCCTTGGTTTTTGCTTTCATCCTGCATCTCGTGTCTTCCACTCAATTAACTGGAATAGTGCCAACTTAATTAGGAAGATAATGACTGGTTGTATTCAAGGCCTGTACAATAATCACTACTGCAGAGTACAATTAGTGGCAATACAAATTTTTTACTCCTTGAACTAAGAGAGACGGGTCTTTTTCAGGATGCTTTCCCTATGCTTGGGGGTCAGGCCTCAGAAAGCCAGAGAAAACTTGTTCCAGTGAAAGACAGCAGTAAAAGTAAGAGGAAGTACAAAACTAAGAGGAAGCATTCTACTATTAATATGACTGAGAATGAAGGCAGGATCTTGGTTTTTTGTTATTTATATTTCAACATTAGATCCTGTGACTAGACAGGGAAGACTCTCCATCATCATCGCTCTGCTTTACCCCGATTCGCCCGGAGTCCCCATTACCATCTCTCTGCCTTATTCACATGGAGGGGATACCTCTTCATCAGCAGCTCTCTGATGTACTCTGATTCAATCAGAAGGGATAAGTCCCCATCACCATCTCTCTGCTTCATGCAGAGGGGATAAGTCCCCATCACCATCTCTCAGCTTCACACAGATGGGATATGTCCCCATAACCATCCCTCTGCTTCACGTGGAGGGGATAAGTCCCCATCACCATCCCTCTACTTCACACAGAGGGATAAGTCCTCATCACTATCTCTTTGCTTCACACAAGGGGGATAAATCCTCATTACCATCTCTCTGCTTCATGCAGAGGGGATAAGTCCCCATCACCACCCCCCTGTGTCATGCAGAGGGGAAAAATCCTCATTACCATCTCTCTGCTTTACCGTAATCCACTCAGAGGGGATAAGTACCCATCACAATCTCTCTATTTCACCCCAGTTCACCCAGAAGTGATAAGTTCTCATCAATACATCCTTAACCTCATCCTCAGACACTGCAGTCGCTGTGATCATCCATCCCCAATCTGCTTCCCTGTTATAATGGGTAGCTGGTGGCACTGATGGCTCCACTAAAAAATCATTAATATTCAGCTCACTAGAAGGCATACGAAAACCCCATGGATAATATTATAGCTCATAAATCTCAGCTCTGATCTCTGATGAGCTAAGGGGACTGAAGACATGTTGAAAAAATAACACAAAATAAAGTGAATGTTCAATGACAAGGTGACCTGGTTCATCTTTGCTGGCCATGCTTTTTGTAATTTCCTCTTAGAAGACTCAGATAATGGAACCTAATAGCTTTAATAAAGTCAGATACATCTGCAAGCCTTTGAGCAGTGGTAGTGCTTCTGGGATTGAAATGCCTTCAGTAAATATCTCATGGTGTTTAACTGCATCTACAAGCATTAGAGCTAAGTACTATTTGGTCATGTCTTCCGAATATAGTGACTCAGAGCTCTCCACAGCTTACACAAGGCGAAAGAGACTAAATGGTAGCAGCACTGATCTGGAGCTGTAAGATGTGGGAAACTGCAACAACGCACTGTAGGCTGTAGTGAAGTGTTAACCAATGAAACTCTTATCCAAGAGTCATTTGTGGGAAGTACTCACGCTGTCCCCAGCGTCCTGTCCGAGGGTTCAGATAATTGGGGTACAGTCCATTGGGCCGGTCCAGCTTGGCCAGTAGCTTGCGTATGTGCATAACCTTAGGAGAAATGGAGCAGGCAACTAAGACAAAGCCATACATCTCAGATGCTGGATCTCATTAGATTAGTTCACAAACTGATGAACAAATGCTGTGAGACACACACACACACACATGTCGGGTATACCTATCCTTAAGGGGACCACTCATTCACTTCTATGGGAAAAATGCTAACGCTAACTATGACAACCCTAACCCCCACCCCGCCCTATCCATAACCATAAGTAACCAAACAAAATACAAGAGTTTTTGCATTTTTAGTTTTTTCATAGCTGTTACAGATTTTTATAAAATAGAGTTTTCCCTTATGGGGACCAGGAAACCAGTCCCCATAAGGGGAAAAAAACTGATATTTATCACGTTATGGGGCCAATGTGTCCCCATAAGGATAGGTATACCCGCTCACACACACACACACACTGGATCCTGTGGTAGACATCATCTTCAGACTGACAGGTCTGACTAAGCTGGTGGCATCTCATATTGTTGCTGATCAACCTGCTCTCTCACCCTGTTCTCTTGCTATTAAAAAAAAAACTGAGAACCTGCATTGACTTCAGCCCATGTGTCAGTCATCAGCATCAGGCAAGTCTGGAGGTCACACTTTGTGCACCCATTTCATCTATCAGCTGCTTATGATACTGATTCTAGCTATATGAATTGGCTAAATCCCTGACAATCCGCACAGCAGATAAAGCCTTACTCCACAGAATCTGCTGCTGTTGCTATTACTCCAACAGCAAGTAATGGGCAACACATGAAAAGTAGATGTCTGGTTATACTAGATAGCTTAGAATGTAAGCAGCTTCCAAAGGATATATCTGACAAGGAGAACTGAACAAATACCAAAGGTAAGAGCGTGTATCTTATTCTGGGCTGAAACAGGACTGTCCCCACTCACCTTCTGGTAGAAGTTGGGGTTTCCCGACAGGTAGGTGAGGTGAACGAACTCCATGTGGAGGGTTCCGAACTCAGCGAGGATACTGCTGCCTGCTGAAGCCCAGCCCCAGTTCCGGCCTACACCGCTGGGCACATACAAACAAGGGAAGATCTGAGCAAAGATCACATTCCCTCCAAATTATATTTTATTAATCACCTTCCAATATACCAGCCACCCAGTAGGAGCGCTGAAGGACAGTTAAACTGGGTGCCAAAATACGACTCTGCTTGGTTTTGAAGTTCACTATAATTTAACATCCTTCTTTACATATGGTTGGACAGCCAAAAAAGGCTGAAGCCCTTCTTCTCAGTTTTAGTTTCAGTGCAGTTACTGTGTTTTGCCTTTGCAGGGCAGAAAAGCCTATAGATTCCATGCCAACTGTATAGCAGGACTACAGAACCCTGCACTGGCCACAAGACGGATTCCCCTTCAGGAGGGTTAGTGCTGTCATGTTTTGTTCATTTTTAAAGCTCAAGGTCTGAATGTCATATGGGTGTGACCCAAAGGCAGAGAAGAGAACTGGAAGGGAACTCTGGGCAGCATGCAGCAGAGAATGGGTTACATGGTCACCAAATGAATTGCAGAAGTGGACAGAGCACAGTCCTGCTACACTTTGGACTTTTAGAAATGCCTTTTTAAGAAAGTGACAAACTGAAGATCTGTTTTTCCAATGAAGAACTGGAAATTATTCCTGTGGGCACAACTAGCAGGACTGGGATATAGCAGAGTGTTCGGTCATAATATGCAGAAACATGCCACATGTGTCTCGGAGTGAGGCTGTTCACACAGCACTGAAGCGCATCATTGTCCTACACAGCTTTAGCCATGCAAGACAACATCCTATTCAAATAAAGCATTTTTCAATTTGCAATGAAATGTTAAACAGAAGAGATGAAGAGGGAGAGATTATTTATTCTCTGGCAATATGAATGAACTGATTTTCCTGCCAATGATAATCTGAATCAGAGTTCATTTGAGAGAAAATGGGAGAAAGGGATAAGGAGAGAGAGAGGTAAGACATAAGGAATATGTATGGAATCCCTCCTGGGATGGCAGTAATAATAATTTATTAATAATGTAAATTATATGTTCATTGTCTGTATATTGTCTGTCTAACTTAAGAGACACCATTAGCCAGAACCAAACTCATTAACTAACACAGATCAATTGACAGGCTGGTACAATTCTTTTCCCAGTTTTCAAATCATGATAATTTTACAATAAAATTGAATTTAAAAATGTTAAACAATGTGTATAGTAGAGATAGCTTGATATAATTCCATAGTGGGTATCGGATGGGTGAAATCTCTAGTGTATTGCATATGGAAATATAATATTATCCAGTCATTTTAATGTGACAGATATAACTATGATATTTGATGAGTCAGCACTAAAGAGGCATGTATACAGACACACAGCCCACTTACTCATCCAGCCCAGCTGCATGTGAAAGGGGGAATGCACCCGCAGCCATGCCCTGCACTCCCTACAGTGACCCACAGGGCAGCCCCCTACTCCACGTCCATACTGAAAACCCGCAGTATGCACTAAAGCCAGCAGCCTCACGAGTGTCACTGCCGCTCTCCAGCTCCATTAACATGCTTAGGCTGATGTAAACATTGGTCAGGCATCCATAAGCTACTCCTCACAGTACGGTGAGCATACATGTTCTCTATCAGCCATGTGCCAGTTAAGACTCACGGTCAGATACAGGCCTGCTGCACATAATTCCCTAGCTGGGACAAAATTACTTCAGATGGACCCCCATGACACACAACCCCACCCACTTGGGGCCTCTGAACCTGACCCTGCAACTGTCCCCCAGAGACAGCAGGCCTACTCAGATGCATCGTGCTGCCCCCCTAATGAGACAGATGAAGCTAAACCTTCATTTAACTTGAGCCACTAAAAAAAACGGAGAATCCCAATAATCTGACATATTAGCTGAGCACTAACACTTGTCATCTTAGGACAGCTGGGCTGGACAGTTTTCACTACGCCTAAGAGTATAACCATGTCATTGTTTGGGAAATATGCCCCGCTCACCTCTTCAGGTTCACCATGGCCCACGGGATTCCTGTGGGGGTGTTAAATGCTGGAAGAAGCTTCTCAGCCAGCTGGACCGCCTTCACCTTAAAAACCTGCAGGGGGGCCAGGAGACAAACAGATAGGGGGAGAAACGAGAAGAAGGCTTTCAGACACATTCATGTAGATGGTTTTGTGGAAGCCCTCAGCATGTTCAGGTGCCCTGATTCTGTTTCAACAGTGAAGTGCGATAACCCCATTGTTGGTCGGCTGATCGTGTTCACTGCATTCTGCACACCATACATTAAAGCCAGTCATTTAATGAATAGCTACTGCGTGGAAGCTATTGGGAGTTAATTGGTCATTGTATTTTAATTTTCACCAAAACAGCCAGTTTAAATGTTAAAATGATACAGTTAACAGTAAGATCACTGTACCAACAAAAACGTTCTGTGACTTGAAATTACTCTGTCCAGACCCCATAACAGCATGTGACCCAGATGCCACAGATTGAGGAACATGCAGTCTTTCTATTGGGCTCTCCTAATAAGCTCACAGGATTTCCCTGAAAGCCCCTGTTGGCTGAGCATACTCCTCCCAGTTCAGTGATATGTAGTTACCCAGGGCCTTCCTTTGGCCAGCAGTGCACCACAAACAACGCTGAAGTTTTTCACTTAAGGACATACTTGTCGCTTAGTAGGTTGGATGCCACTCTGGTGCCCACTTTGATGACATTTCGGTATATTTAGTCCATGCTTCCTGAGAATCCCCACAACATTAATACCAATACAAAGAAGAAAATGTTTCCATTAAAATGAAGAGGGTGCTACATTACCAGATGGCAACTCTCCAGTGCATGCCTGCCCCCATGTGGGCCTAATCTTCTGAATACATCAGTGGGCAGAATCCTGTTAGCATACACACGTCTATATAAAACTATATACCTTGCTGGATCTGGAATTGCGTGCTTATAATTTACAGTGTCTCAAGGGGGCGCTCTCATGCTAGAGTGCACCAAGAAGCTGTACAAAGGATTAGAAATGGAGGGTGACTTTCATTGAGTCTTCTCAGGGCTTCCAGGAGATGTGGTTAAATCCAGTATGGTTAAATGTTAAGCTCCTTTTGTTCAAAGTTAGTGCCATCCTAGACTGCCAGAAACAAACTTAAGGCTGCCTGCAGAAGGTCTCCGTTTTGGGTGATTACTGTCCAGAAGCCACATGGGGGGCATGTGGACCACTCTGGCTGGGAGAGACAGGGGGATTCTGGGACTGTGCCTGCTGTTGTTAACATGTGACAGCCCACAGTGTGACTGCGCACAGGCTGGGCTGCAGACAGCTGCATTACTGACGATGGTTCGCTTTATCTGTGAGCTGGCCAGCAGGCCTGGAAATCAGCACATGGAAATATTATACATTGTGCATAATGAATGTATCTTTCAGAACGTTTCATGTTAGGCATATTTGTGCATCCTTAAGAATGATGTGTTAAATTATTTGCTCTAATGATATGCTAGAGATCATAAAACCAAGAGAACTTGAGGCCATGTCCTGCTTAGGAACCTCAGTCCCAATTGGTCCATTTTAACCATAAATGTCAGAGTGTTTTAGAGTCTAATCATGGCATCCAATTTGTCCTCATGGTCTGAAGCATGCAAACTATCAGAAAAGTGTCTGAAATAATGAGCAAGACCAAGGTGGATTTATTGTGTAGTAAAACATGAGCATCACAAGGCTACGTTGACTTGGGGGGATTTACAGGCACAGAAAGCCCTTGTCCTGGAAGGTCATGGTACCTATACATAAGATCTCTACAGGACCCTCCTGCCTGACAGCACAACATGCTGGATATATGAAACAATGACTGGAAGAACTATGAGGGACTATGAATGAGGTGCCTGATGAATTCTCAGATTCAGAATAAATCCTCAGGAATCTGTCAAAAAAAGTACAAATGAAAGCCACTTCCAGCAATAATGTTAAACAATGGTTTCTTCTCTCTTTCCTTAAGACCATAATGTTGATGTATTTTCCACTGAGCACGCTTCCATAATGAAACTGCTTTTAAAGTAAGCCTTTCCCAAGATTCAGCAGACACTGAATAGGCTTTTCACTTCTTTGACTAGACTGAGGACTGCAGCTCCTCAAGAGGCTTATTGTTTGGCTGCTGTTGCCAAGCTTAGTATGGAATAGTCTTCCTGCTAGTGTAGCGGAAGCTAAAACCCTGGGTTCCTTTAAATCAGAGCTAGATAAGATTTTAACAACTCTGAGCTATTAGTTAAGTTCTCCCCAAACGAGCTTCATGGGCCGAAAGGCCCCCTCTCGTTTGTAAATTTCTTATGTTCTTATGACACAGGTTCACCTAGAGGAACCTGGAAAATTATGCACTTAGCAGAATGTAGAGCTGCATCCTTATTCTCCCACCTATCTCTGCATGCTACCATCTCAACAGTACTCACATCATCCCACCTGTATCCATATCGCCACTAAAAGGTAACTGAATTACCAACTAGATGATAATGATTCAAACATTTGGCTTTTTATTGCTATTTTTTGAATACACATTCCCTAAAAAGATTCTAGAAATACACTACCGTTCAAAAGTTTAGGGTCACTTTCCTTGCTTTTTTCCATTAAATTAACGCCAGAAGATCAGAAATACTTTGTAGACATTGTTAATGTTGTAAATGACAATCATAGCTGGAAACAGCTGCATCAGGGGTCTCCAACTCCGGTCCTGGATAGTTACTAAGTAGGTTTTCTATCCTACTTGGCTTCTGATGAGCCACACTAGTTCTCAGGTAAATACCAGGGCCAGGTGTGGCTAATCAGAAGCCAGGTAGGATAGAAAACTTACTGGATAATAGCTCTCCAGGACCGTAGTTGGAGACCCCTGATCTACATAGGTGTACGGAGACCCATTATCAGCAACAATTACTCCTGTGTTCCAGTAGAATGTTGTTTTTACTAATTGCAAGTGTCGTGTCCTCATGGCGATTGGGGGGGGGGGGATTTATGTTATTTTGGGTTTTTCTTTTTGTGGGTGGTCTGTGTTTTTGTTTTACCCAGGCAGTGTCGTGGACAGCTATGCAGGACCTTGCAGCATGCTCCTGGTTGTGATTGGTTGGGGCATGGTGATTAATGTTGTTCCGATTCCGATACTAGTATCGGAAATGCTGCCGATACCACCAAAAAATCTGGCATCTGTATCGGCGAGTATTTGAGTCCACGTACCGATCCGATACCATTTTCCTAAACATAACCTTTTTTTTTTTTTTTAATTTTTTTTTATTAAACTTCTCAAACAAGATAACAATATAGTCTCAAGTCTCAAGTCTCGTTTATTTATATAGCCCTTTCAACCACAACGTAGACCAAAGGACTGT